AAAGGAAAGGAAAGGAAAGGAAAGGAAAGGAAAGGAAAGGAAAGGAAAGGAAGGAAGAAAGAGAAAGGCCGGCAGGCCGGCAGGCTGAAAGAAACAGGGGAAACATAAGCTCACCAAATCTTATGTATTTTAATTAAATTTTGTAGTTGGAAAAGGTGCTATCAAAAAAAAAAAGGTGCTATTATTCCTGATTTTTTGCCACCATAGCCTAACACAGCTTTCTTCCTGCAGTGGCAAACTTAGTGTAGTAAGTTAAATGTAAGTGTTAACACCTGCTGCAAACTTCTGTGCACAAGATTAGATTAAGAAATCTAGATGCTTCTATTCACATTTTGCAAAAACACACTGTATGCACATAGGAACATACTGCAAGGATGGTGGAATTAAAAGTACAAGCTGCTATGATTATCTTTAGAGAGCCGTCAGTTAGTTTTTTTCGCCTTTTCCTCCTTAACAGATTTCCTCTGGCATGAAAAAACAAAACAAAACAGAGTAAGACTACAAAAGTCCGCAGGGTCACAATTAGAGGAGAAGGTAATCTGGTCATCCCAAAAGTCTCCATGCATGATGAGGCAGAGAGACTGAATAGCAACAGCTACTTCTGGGAGCGCACTTGCTATGACACATGCCCTTGAAACAGAGGTTGCAGGATAAAGTCTTCGCGTTCATCTAGACTTCTGGCTAAGCTTCCTTGCCAAGAAGGCAGAAGTGCCTTGCTATTGCCTTCTTCCGGGAGGTTTTTGGGACTTCCTACTGTAGCTTCGAGCCCGGGGATTCCCTGCTGGTCCTCCATTCCAGGACTACCTTGCTTAGGTTCCAGGCCAAGCAAGCTCGTGGGCATCTAAGCTTATTCAGACGCAACCTCTTCTATGGCGGTAAATTCTCCCCCCGGCCTTGGCGTTTTGCTCCGGCTCGTTCGGCTGGTTCTGCTACAGCTTGGGCCCGGCTGCCGGGTGAGGAGGAGCCAAGGCGGGGTTGCCAGAAAGAGGGCAAGGCCCGA